CAATGGAAGAATAATACTGGAATTACAAGAAACCAAGAAAGTAGCAAAAGCCAAATAAAACTGCCTGTCCTCTTTCATAAAGTATACTTCTTAACACCTGAAAAAAAAATAGTTAAGAAGTCACCATGGGATGGTGCAGCAGCTAAAACTGACTGCATTTCAATTGCATCTGTACCTGTTCTGTAACGTTAATTAAAGAGGATATGGTTCTGAGGGGAGGCTTACTAAGCATCAAGAACTGTAAGGTATTTCCAAGCTAATGCTTTATATTTATTGTTTAATCAGTTTCATCATTTAAGTTTCCTTTATCTGCTTGGAAAGGCCTTTAATGGATCTAAATAAAAGGAGAAAATCTGGCTAATATTTATGCCCTGTCAATTCTATTAGATGTTGCTGTAAGAAATGTAAATCAAGAGATTGGGTCTTAAAGTTTTATTCACTGTAGTTTTAATAGACCATGCCAATATTACTCCAGTATTGCCAGAGATGTCTCCAAGAACACTGAATGAATACTAAGAAGGCCTACCATGACTCTTGCTATGAAAACACAGATTAAATTCAAAAACTTTTAATCTCCCAATTTGATCCACATGGGGAAATTCCGTGTGGCATCAGGGAATACGCCAGCAAAGATAGGACAGAGGAATTGCATTCTATGTTTAACCAGAACACAAACACAGGCAGTCAGATCTCAAGGATCAGAAGTGACATGTTTGTTTTCAGTACTAATGTGTGCAAAGATGTCCAACTCCACTGACAGATACACATTAGCACGATTCCACATGCATATCCCAAATACAGATTATCGGTCTTTTGGGTCCAGAAAAGCACACAAGTTTTGAATAGCAATGCACTTCAGGTGAAGGAAGTGTTCCCTGAGGTGTGAGGCAGAAAGCAAGGCAGCACATAACGGTATATCACAGACTTCAGCTACAGAGAGTCCACTTAAGGCCAACCTTACCCAGGCGATTCAGTGGAATTCTGAGTCACACAGGTGAGTGCTTCTGCAGGACATTCTGCCAATCAGCAGGTTATGTGAGCCATACCTACACCCTACCAGAAAACCCTGACTGGTTCAGTGATCAGTATTCCAGGAGTTCTGATGCTCCCTGAAGTGAATCATAGTTTGTTTAACCTGATCAACCCATAAAACACTATTTGCAGCAATACAACCTATCTCTGTTAGTGCACAGGTACCTTCACAGTGAACTGGAGGAGAACAGCCCCAGCCTGCTGCCTGTCACCCCACTGCTGCAGAGGGCCAGGCTTGCTCCTCCTGCTGGGATCTTTGTTGGGAGGAGACCTGAACACATCCACGAGCACCTTCCAACACCACCCCAGGGGCTGAGCATCCCGAGGAGCACCTTCCAACACCATCCCAGG